GTGTGTGTGTTTGACAGGCAGAGTTAGAGAGACAGAAAGGTCTTCCTTCCGTTGGTTCACCCCCTAAATGGCCGCTACAGCCAGTGCACTGTGCTGATCCAAAGCCAGGAGCCAGGTGCTTCCTCCTGGTCTCCCATGGGGTGCAGGGCCCAAGCACTTGGGCCATCCTCCACTGCCTTCCCAGGCCACAGCAGAGAGCTGGCCTGGAAGAGGGGCAACCAGGACAGAATCCAGCACCCCGACTGGGACTAGAACCCGGGGTGCTGGTGCCACAGCGGATGATTAGCCGAGTGAGCCGTGGCGCTGGCCAGGCAGCAGTTTTAAAAGCATCGTGGTAAATTAAGGCGAGACACAGTCAGATTTCTGATGAGGGGTGCTGTGTTTGGGGGAGGCCCTGGCTCTTCTGGTGCCTCCGTGTGCCCCAGTCCAGGCAGAAGCAGGGGTGCGGGGATTGGGTCTGCAGGCCACTCAGCGTGCAAGTGAGGCCACGGCCTCTCTCTGTGCTGCCACCCCCCACCACACACACACACACTCACACACACACACAGAGGGCTGCTCACCTGTTGCCACGGCAGGCCTTATTTTGTTATCATTAAGATTTCATTATTTGGGGCCGGCCCTGAGGCATGGCAGGTAAAGCTGCTACCTGCAGTGCCGGCATCCCATATGGGCACCAGTTCTAGCCCCAGCTGCTCCTCTTCCGATCCAGCTCTCTGCTATGGCTTGGAAGATGGCCCAAGTGCTTGGACCCTTGCACCTACGTGGGAGACCTGGAGGAGGCTCCTGGCTTCGGATCGGCGCAGCTCCAACCGTTGTGGCCAATTGGGAGTGAACCAGAAGATGGAGGACCTCTCTCTCTCTCTCTCTCTCTCTCTCTGTCTCTCTCTGACTCTCCTTCTTTAACTTTCAAATAAATACATAAATCTTTTTAAAAATTCCATTGATTTATATAGAAGAGAAGCAGAGAGGGAGATCTTCATCCGCTGGTTCAGTCCTCTGCTGCTTTCCCAGGCACATTAGCAGGGAGCTGCCTCAGGCAGAGTAGCCGGGACTCAAACTGGCCCTCTGACTCAGGATGCTGGCCCCACAAGTGGCCGCTTAACCCCCGGCGGATGTAAGCATGGTGCACCTGGGTGCCAAACTGCTGTCTCCCAGGTCTCTGCTCCCATTACCCTCATTCCCTCATCCCTCCCCCTTCACTCCTTTTCACTTCTTTACCCAGGGCTTGCGTGGAAGCAACAAGAAAAATGTCCTGGAGTTCACAGGGAAGGGCAAGGGGTGACCCCCTCATCCAGTGCCCAAAGCTCCAGCTCCTGACCCCTCAAAGACCTTTCATGAGTCGGCTCCCTCCCCCGGGGGTTTCCATTTCCTTCATCCCACCCCTACCCCAAGTCTCATTAAAAAGAGAGAAAGCGTTCCTGAGAGTTTAAGTCCTTCCTTCTGTAGGACAAACTATTTTTTTAAGACTGAAGCATGGTACAAGCTTGTGGTACAGCGGGTTAGGCCACTACTTGAGACCTGGCATCTCTCAATTGCATTCCTATCTTGGTCCATCCAGCTCCCTGCTAATGCATCCTGGGAAGAGCATATGCTGGTCTGAGTACTCCTGGCTCCTGGCTTCAGCCTGGCCCAGTCCTGTGGGCATTTAGGGACTGAACCAGCAGATGGGAGGGCGTGTGCCTGTGTGTGTGTCTGTCTTTCAAGTAGATTAAGTATTTTTTAGTCCAAACGCTCTTCTCTTCCTCACTTCCTTCCCACAGCATGCTGCCAACTCCACCTGTCCACTGCCTCTTGTCCACTAGCTCCCTGCCTGGTGTCAGTGATGCGCTTCTGACTTTTTTTTTTTTTTTTTTTAGATTTTATTCATTTATTTGAGAGGTAAAATTACAGACAGAGAGAGGGACAGAGAAAGGTCTTCCATCCGCTGGTTCCTTCCCAAATGGCCACAATGGCTGGATCTGGACCAATCTGAAGCCAGAAGCAAAGAGCTTGCTCTGGGTCTCCCACACTGGTGCAGGGGCCCAAGCATTTGGGCCATCTTCTGCTGCTTTCCCAGGCCATAGCAGAGAGCTGGATCAGAAGTGGAGCAGCCGGGACTAGAACTGGTGCCCATGTGGGCTGCCGGCATCACGGGCAGAGGCTTAGCCCGCTATGCCACAGTGCCGTCCCCTGTGCTCCTGACTTGATCCTCACCTCAACTCCCCTCCAGTCTCCTTCCTCAGAGGTCAGGGTCCCGGCTCTGTGCGGACCCCCAGCTTCAGGCACACATGTCCTGCTTGCTGCCGCGGGACTGCCCTGGGCCCACACCCAGGGCTGCGCCTGTTCCACCTGTCTCCGCGGAGCCCTCCGTCCTTGCCGGGCCATCCTTCAGCCCCTCTGTTGGCCACCTCCGTTTCGTTCCTTCACTTGGGGCGCTCTGTGGCTGTCATCCCCCGTTCCTGTGCCTCAGGCCGCCCGCTCGGGGGCTCGGGGTGTTCCTTCAGCTGCCCCCTCTGCTTTCCCGACAGCAGCAGGAAGGATGGTGGGTCCGCGGGGCTGGAGGAAGGCGTGTGTGCTGCCCAGAGCGTCGGGAGGATGAGCTCGGGCGGGGCAACCATCGGAGTCTGGAGAAGCGAAGCATGCTGCCTGTGGACTGCAGCTTTCCCTGGCGGGCTCAGTCCACTTTGGGTTTTTCAGGAAAAGCCATAATCATATTACAGAAAAAACAAATACTAAAAGCACCCCCATTCCTCTCGAAATAAGCACTTACATTGAAACATTCTATAAACCCAAACCAGAATTAAGCTAGTTTACTATGTATTTCCCAAAACAGTTTAACTGCACGCACAAACCACGCAGTCATTTCAGGTCCCTGCTAATAAGGCAGTTTGGACATCTGCAGGGTCCTATGCCGCCCCCGTGGCTGAAGCCCTGGAGCCCCTGAGCCTCCCCTCCCTTCTCCACGTCTGTCGGGGGACCTGACGCACCTGCCTGCCTAGGGATGCCGAGCCTGACCCTGGCCCCCTCAGAGACCGCCTCTGCCCCCTGCAGGCGGGAAGCTATGCTGCAGGCGCAGGCTGGGCGGGAGGAGCCTGTCTCTAGCGGCCCGGGTTAGCTGTGTCCAAACCCACCAGGGGTCCTGGGTTGAGCACAGAGTGAGGGGGGGTCAGAACTTCGAGAAACAAAATTATTCTACCCCATGCTGCTAGCCCCAGGGGGACTACACTGCCCCCTCAGCCAGATCCCTCCTGGGCCCCGCACCAAGTAGGAGAGGCCACCCCTGAGTAGGGACTGCCCCACCCCACTGGCTCCCGGATCCAGCCCTATCTGGGTGCCTAGCGCACTGCTCCTCCCTGGCCCCTCCACCGCTGAGCCATGCGCAGAAAGGCCCTGTCCTCTTCAGTCCCCGACAACTCTGTCCCATGCTCGCCGCCCTGGGCATGGGAGGGACGGGGGTAGAAGTGCTACACATCCACATCCCCAACTATGATGGAGGAGAAGAGGGCAGGGAGCCTGCTGCCCCGGTTCCCTAGCAAAACTGGGCGCTCCAGATGCCCCACATTGCCGCCTGCCTCCCAGAGACACCCCCCCCACCACCACCATCATCCTGTCACTCGCCCAATAGCCCGAAGGCTCTGTAGCCCTCCTTCCACTCGCGGGAAGAAAGGCTGAGCCTGGCCGGCCCCGAGAGCCTCCGTTTCCCTGCAGCTTCCTCCCCTGGCTGGGCTGGGACCCCTCTGGGTCTGGGTGAGGAGCGGTGGCAGAGGGCAGGGCACTGGGAGACACCAAAACAGCCCCTGAGGTGCCCCGGAGGGTGAGGAGGGGGCGTGTGAAGGAGTGGCAGGCTGACCCTGAACCCTCAAGAACTCAGCACTGGTCCCACGGCTGGTACCCCGGAGGAACGTGAGCCTCCAGCACACCCCAGGACCCCCAGAGTGCCCTTAGGTCCCCAAGTGGGTGCCGCGGCTCCCAGCCTGAGTGCAAGGAGGTGCTGCCAGGAGCTCCACGTACCTTGGGCCCGGGGCTGCAGCCTCGGGTCCCCCTGGGGAGGCAGTCTTGCCCAGATTGCCCAAGGCCTCCCTAGCCTTGCCCTGGCTCGCCCAGAGGACGCTGTGCCCATGGCCCAGGGGTCCCTCCACAGGAAGCAGACACCTGGTACAGACACTGCTGGTGAGTGGGATGAGAGGCTGCCAGCACTCAAGACCACCCATTGGAGGGGCTGGCGCTGTCGCATAGCGGGTAAAGCTGCCACCTGTAGCGCCAGCATCCCATATGGGCACCTGTTCTAGTCCTGGCTGCTCCACTTCCGATCCAACTCTCTGCTATGGCCTGGGAAAGCAGTGGAAGATGGCCAAAGTCCTTGGGCCCCTGTACCCGCACTCGAGACTGGGAAGAAGCTCCTGGCTCCTGGCTTCGGATCAGCGCAGCTCCGGCTGTTGTGGCCAACTGGGGAGTGAACCAGCGGATCGAAGATCTCTCTGCCTCTCCTCTCTCTGTGTAACTCTTTCAAATAAAATAATAAATCTTAAAAAAAAAAAAAAAGGACCACCCATTGGTGACCAGTAGCCACTGGGGCTAAGTGCTGGGCCCTGGACGGAGTGAGCGGGACCCCTGGGATGCGCCGGCCCAGCACCCCAGCTGCACACAGGGCAGGGTGCCATCTGCTATTCTGTCTCACACACAGGCGACCTTCAGAAAGTTCTAAGTCACTTATGCTAAAGTAAACGCCAGAAGCCACTAGCGGCGTAGGAGAGAACTGGACTAGAAACCTCCCCAGTGGCTGCGGCGGCCCGGGGGGCCTCCGGCTTCCTGCCGTGCAGCCAGCGACTCAGGGTGCGCAGGCCCCTGGCCAGCGGGCAGAGCCTGGAGGACCAAGTGGTCACGGATTTGCACTGAGAGCAGGGCGCCCCAAGGCCGCAGGAGCCACGCGTGGGGTCGGCTGGGGTCACTGGCGCGCTCCGCCCCGAGTGGGCGGGGCCACGGAGGGGGGGCGGGAGCCCGAGGACTACCGCTCCCGAGGTGCCCCGCGCGCACTTCCGGGTCCCGGCGGAGGCGCGGGGTCGCGGGCGGTGGGAGCCGAGGGGATCATGCTCCGGGCGCTGGGCGGCCTGGGCCTCCTGGGCGCGCGGCCCGCGTGCCGGCCTCCAGCCCTGCTGCTGCTGCCCGCGCGCGGCCGCAAGACCCGCCATGATCCGCCGGCCAAGTCCAAGGTCGGGCTCTTGAAGACCCCGCCCGCGGTGGACCCTGCGGAGTGCTACGTGCTGATGGAGCGTTACCGGCAGTACCGCCAGACCGTGAGCGCGCTCAGGTGAGTGACGGAGACCAGGTGGCGGTGCGCGCCCGCGGGAGTGCTGGGGCGGGCGGCGGAGAGGGTGCCGACTGGAGGCGCGTCCCTGCCCAGGATGGAGTTCGTGGCCGAGGTGCGGAAGAAGGTGCACGAGGCCCGGGCCGGGGTCCTGGCGGAGCGCAAGGCGCGAGAGGACGCCGCCGAGCACCGGGAGCTGATGGCCTGGAACCAGGCGGAGAACCAGCGGCTGCACGAGCTGCGGTGCGTGGGGCGTGGGGCGCGGGGCGGGGCGGGGCCACCCACCCGGCCGGCCGGCCTGGGGAGGCCTCGGCCCGGCTCAGCCTCGGCCTCTTGCCCCTCGCAGGATAGCGAGGCTGCGGCGGGAGGCGCTGGAGCAGGAGCAGCGGCAGGCGGAGGAGCAGGCCCGCCAGGCCCAGGAGGCGCAGGCCTGGGCGAAGCTCAAGGAGCTCGAAGTGCTGCAGCTGCAGGTGGGGCCGGGGGCGTGGGGACCCGCGGCGCGCGCACTCCGAGTTAGCGGTAGCAGGTGGGGGCTTGGGGGAGAAGCAGCCCAGGGAGCCTGCCTGTGGCGCGGAGACCCGGGGGACCCGTGAGCTGGAGAAGCGCTGGGGGGCGGGTATCCAGGGAGCTTTGGCAGATGCCAGATTCCAAAGCTGGAAGCCCAGTGAGGAGCTACCCAGCCGCAGCGGGGGAGGCGTGAGGCGGAGTAAGAGAGGGCGAGGACCAGGGAACACGAGGGCCCGCGGGAAGGAGCTGCAGCTGGCGCCTGGGCTTGCGGCTGAGACCTCTGTTATATGACCCCCCTGAGAGGCCGGCAGCAGAGCAGGGTCCCTGGAGCCCCCAGAAGGAGGAGCGGCCAGTGGGCGCTGTGGGGACCCGCGAATGCCCAGCGCCCCCCCCCCCCCCCCATTCCTTCGGCCTTCTCTCTCAACAGGAAGAGGCGAAAAACTTCATCACCCCAGAGAACCTGGAGGCACGGGTGGAGGAGGCGCTGGACTCCCCGAAGAGCTACAACTGGGCCGTCACCAGGGAGGGGCTGGTGGTCCGGCCGCAGCACAGGGGCTCCTAGAGTCCAGTGAGGACATGCCGCCCCTGGGCGCCGCGCGTGGGGACCGGAAGGTTCCGCCTTTGCCAGCGCAGCCCCGGCTTTCCGGCTTTCACATGTGCCACTCGGCCAGGTCTAACACGGTGCCCTGTCCTCCCGCAGGAACAACCTCAGGACAGCCCCGACCCTGCCGTGGTCAGAACGGGCCGCTTCCTATCCCGATTAGCCTCGAGGCCAGTGGTTGGCAAAGTACAGTCCGCAGCCAAACGTGACCTGCTGTTTTTGTAAATAATAATAAAGTTTTATTGGAACACGGCGTACTCATTCACTGACTACTTAAGTCTAAAATACTTGCTAGATGATTTGATGGAAGAGTTTGATCCCTGATCTGAGGGTTAAGGCCCCAGCCAGGAGCGGGAACAGCCCACGTACAGAGCCTGAGCCACAGCTAAGTTGGCTGAGGGCCTCCTGCGCTGCTGGCCGGGTCCCAGGCGTCCGAGACCTGGAGGTGAGGGACAGCGCCCGTGTTTCCCTGTCGCTCCTGCCAGGGTCCCACACTTGCCGCTGCTGCCAGCTTCTACAGCATGCAGAAACCAAACTTCAATTTTTTTTTTAAGATTTATTTTTTATTTGAAAGGCAGAATTAGAGTCAGAATAGTGTTCCATGTGCTGGTTCACTCCTCAAATGGCCACAGTGACCATGGCTGGGCCAGGCTGGAGCCAGGAGCTTCTTCCGGGTCTCCCATGTGGGTGCAAGGGCACAAGCTCTTGGGCCATCCTCTGCTGCTTTCCCAGGTGCATTAGCAGGGAGCTGGATTGGAACTGGAGCAGCCAGGGCTCGAACTGGTGCCCATATGGGATTCCAGCATTGCAAGCGGTGGCTTTACCTGCTGTGCCACAATGCTAGCCCCAAACGTCAACATTTTTACTCTCCTCTGCAGCCATCTTGCTGGGACAGGCAGCTCACCGGTACCTTCAGGGTTAACTCAACCCCAGTCCCAGCTGCACCTGCTTCTAATCGTTGTTAGGCTGTTAGAACAGGTAGACTTATCAGATCCCACTGGGACTGGCTGCAGTGAGCAGGGTGGAGGGAGATCCTGGGTAGTTCACCTGCTGGGCATGGCCCTGCTTCACGCCTGAACTTGGATCTGCTGCAGGCAATGTGGCTTCTGAGAGCCTGGACCACCCAGAGCACCTCCCCTCACTCAAGGCCCCACAACTGTTGGTAGCTTTGGGGTTACCCCTGATGCATATGGCTCAGAACACCCAAATAGGAATGCTTTCACCAAGGCAGGAGGCCCACCCTAGTCGATGCACAGTGGGGTAGTCGGGGTGGGGGGCACAGGCACAATCCGTGTTTCACTTGGGGGAGGAGGGTACGCTGACCCCCGGAACATTGCTGAGTGGGTAATCCCCTCCCCGGCTAGGATTTCTCTCTCCAGTCTTCCAGGGTGGGATAAACAGCACGGCGTTCCCAGACATGGTGGGGAAGTCTCCGGGGTTAGATTGTGCACAGCCTAGTGTGGAGTGGTTCAGCCCTCGGCTGCCAGGTGAGGACCAACTACTGGCAGTGCGCAGGTGGCTGGGTAAAGAGGCGTGCAGGCGCCAGGCTAATGTGTGTGTGGTCCTCCCTCAATTGTTTCATCAAGGAGACCAGTAGGCCTGGGTAAGCCTAAGGGCATCCCTCCTATTTTCCCTACCCCCAGGTATTCTGCATGAAATCACACATCCCGTCTTCTCTGAAGCCACTGGGAGTGTCCCCCTGAACGTCCCCTGTGTTATTTTCCCGACTTCCAAGTACAGAGCTGAAGCCCCATTGACTGCTGCAACAAGAGACAAGGGCAGCTCTGGCGGGAACAGACCAGGTCGGGAACCTTCCCTCCCCGGCAGCCCTGTTGTAAACCGAAACCCCCTGAAGCAGGCCGCCCAGGAGGTACTGGGGGCAAGCCCCCTGCTGGGTCTTCCGGAAGCATTTGCTCAGCACAGGCTCAAGCTTGAAGCTGCCAGAGTTGTTACAAGGCACCCGTGTCCATGAGCCAAGCACTGCCCGGCCCAACTCTGCAGTTCTGGTTTCACGACCTCAGACCAAGAACCTGTAAAGGGGGCCGGCACTGTGGCACTGCCATCCCATATAGGCACCAGTTCGAGTCCCAGATGCTCCACTTCCAATCCAGCGGATGGAAGACCTCTCTGTCTCTCCCTCTCTCGGTAAGAACCTGTAAGAAAGAATCCCACAGGAGTGCTGCTGAAGGGCCCAGGAGGGCACCGGGAAGATCTGAGCTGCAGAAGTCCCGGCCCAGCCAGACCCCACAGTGGCCCCGGGGGTCCCCCAGCTCCAGGAATCCCCCACCCCCCAGCTGTCGGGGCACGTCTTGTCCCGGAGGCTATGCTGGGCTCCACACCGCGGCACAGTTTGTCGCTGCCAGAGGCAGAGCCCGAGGGTGCTGCTGCTAATGCCAGCACCCCATGTCAGGGGACCTGGGTTCAAGTCCCAGCGACTCCACTTCCGATCCAGCCTCCTGCTGGTGCACTCCCTGGGAGGCAGCCAATGATGGTTCAAGTCCCGGGGCCCCTAGCACCCATGTGGGAGATCTGGATGGAATTCTGGGAGCCTGGCTTCTGTCTGGCTGTTGTTGGCATTTAGGGAATGGACCAAAAGTGGAAGATCTCTATCTCTTTCTCTGCACCCGCCAATACAGTTGATTTGGGAAAGAACTGAAGGCTGTCAACGTCTGTCCTGCAATTCCCCCTGATTTCCAGCAGAGGGCAATCTCATGAAGATAGTAACAGAGCCCTCAAAAATGGAAAGGCTGGTCAATGAACTTAACATTATTTTTATTTATTTATTTATTTTCCCCCTCAAAGAAACCTTTATTTAAGGAATACAGACTGCATGCATTTCATAAATACAACTTTAGGACTAGTGATTCTTCCCACCGTACCCACTCTCCCACCCCCTCCTCCTCCTCCCTCTCCCATTCCCAGTCCCATTCTCCACTAAGATCCATTTTCAATTAACTTTATACACGGAAGACCGACTGTATACTAAGTAAAGAGACAACATTACTTTAAGAACCAAGACAGGTCAGGGGAGTGTGGGGAACTGCTCTGTCTCTCTGAAAGCACACAGCTGCTTACATCTGCCGGGCTTTCTCAGCTGAGTGTATTTGCGGAGTTGCTTTTTTTTCCCCTTAAGATTTATTTATTTATTTTCAAGGCAGAATTACAGACCGAGAGAGGGAGAGAGAGCTTTCATCCACTGGTTCACTCCCGAAATGCCACAACAGCAGGAGCTGGACTGACCCAAAGCCAGGAGCCAGGAGCGTCTTCCAGGTTTCCCACGTGAGGGCAGGGCCATCTTCCACTGCTTTCCCAGGCTGGATTAGAAGTGGAGCAGCTGGGACTCGAACCGGCGCCCATATGGGATGCCGGCACTGCGGGCAGAGGCTTAACCTACTTCGCCACAGCACCGGCCCCAAGTTGCAGACTTTCTAACGTTCCCTCTCTGTGCCTGAGCCTGTACCCTTTCAGGACAAGGCCCTTTCCGACCTCGCCACCACGCCATTATGTGCCTAACAGATCAAACAACCCCTCCTCTCCTCTGTTCCCCGGCCCTGGAAACCCCGGCAGCTTTGTGGCTCACGTGCCCTGGGTGCTTCGCGTACAGAGTGACAGTCTTCGGGACTGGCTCCTGTAGCCTGGCATAACGCCCTCAGTGTTCACCTGTGCTGTAGCGTGGGGCTGAGTTCCCTTCCTTTCCCTTTTTTATTTTTTTAAGATTTATTTATTTGAAAGGCAGAGTGACAGAGAGATCTTCCATCTGCTGGTTCACTCCCCAAATGGCCAGGGCACTCAGGGTTAGGCCAAACCAAAGCCAGGAGCCAGGAACACCACCTGGGTTTCGAACCTGGGTGGTAGGAACCCAAGCACTTGGACCAAATAAATAAATAGCGGTGCTGGCCATGGCCAACTTCACCGATCTTCGGCCTGGACCTCCCTCCTGCGCTTCCGACTCTTCTATCCAAACGCCTGCTCCAGCTCCCCCGGGTGTGTGTGCACACCACAGAGGCGGCGTGCCTGCTGAGCCCCTGCTCAGGGGCGTGAGGCCGCAGGGGCACTTCCCTATGGCTGCCCGGGGGCTCTCGGGTGGCACCGAGGTGCGTCCCGCCAGCGGCCTCTGGCTCCAGAGGGACCGCGACCTGGTTGACCTCCTTGCAGCCTCGTGAGATCCTGCCCAGACCCTGACCCACGAATGCCGCAGAATGAGCAGGTGTGGTTTAAGCTGCTCCACGCGTGATGCTGCGTTAGGCAGCAGAAGAGGAATGCCTCAGGGCAGGGTGCTTGAGACCCCACCCCCACCCCCACCCCCACCGCCCCGTGTCCCACGCTGGCTCTGGCCCCTGACCCCAGCTTCCTGCCAGTGCACACCCTGGGAGGAGCAGGTAAGGGCTCGAGCATAGAGGAAACAGGGCTGCAACCAGAGACAAAAGAAGGAAAGCGCCCCCCCCCCCAACACAAACCTTGAAAAGTGGCTGTCCCCCGTTATCCTGTCTAGGGAGGGAAGGTGCCCTAAGTTCTGCTTCTGTCAACTCCAGTCAGAAATCTGCCTAGGCTGGCGCCGTGGCTCACTAGGCTAATCCACCACCTGCAGCACCGGCACCCCAGGTTCTAGTCCCGGTCGGGGCGCCGGATTCTGTCCCTGTTGCTCCTCTTCCAGGCCAGCTCTCTGCTGTGGCCAGGGAGTGCAGTGGAGGATGGCCCAAGTGCTTGGGACCTGCACCCGCATGGGAGACCAGGAGAAGCACCTGGCTCCTGGCTTCGCATCAGTGCGGTGCGCCGGCTACAGCAGCCACTGGGGGGTGAACTGATGGAAGGAAGACCTTTGTCTTGGACTCTCTCACTGTCCACTCTGCCTGTCAAAAAAAAAAAAGAAAGAAAAAAGAAATCTGCCTAATAAACCCGCCCCTGGTGTCTCTTTTACCAACATACTGGGCCCACGGGCCACTGGAAGCGTGGTCCTACGTCACGTAGGCTGCAATTTCAACCCACCAGTGCTGCAACAGCTAAGGTATGCTGCTGGCGAACCTACAAATAGTGTGAGGAATTTGGGATTGTGGCTCAGTGCGCAGGAAATGATTCCGGCTGAGCCTGCTGACGTTAATAAGCTGCTTGGCTCCTCCACTGTCTCTGGTGCTGTTTGAACGCAGGGATTTTCCCACCCAGCACAAGTAGCTGAACTCCTGCCACCTTCGTAGGAGCCCAGGGCTGGCTGAGTTCCTGGCTCTTGGCTCTGGCCACTGCCCAGCCCTAGACTGCAGACATCTGAGGGCTAAGCAAGAAGATGGGAGTCCACTCGCTCACTCTCTCACCTCCTTTCCCTCTCAAACAAATCAATAATTAAAGGAAAGAAAAGGAATGCCCCTTAGGACGTGCACCTGGCTCCTCTCCCTACCTCCTACGGGTGTGATCCTCATGGCAACACCTGCCGGCGACCCCGAGTGAGTGCAACCGGCCCTCCCCAGAAGGCTTTACTCATCCACCGCGATGCTGGTGCCTGGTGCCGATGCCCGGTGCCGATGCCCGGTGCCGGCTGTGATGGGAAGGTGCGGGTCGCTTACTCTGTTTGCTAACCCGCTGACACCTGTTTCCAGCTCGCTCTCCCCTCCTGCGCACACAGCACCCTGAGGGCTGAGGCTTCGGTCTGCGGCGCTCCCTGGTGTTTCCAAGTGTCCTAAGGGGACCCGTGCGGGTACAGAGAGGACCCATGGAGCAGGGACGGCATCTGCCACTACGGTGATTGTGTGTGTGTCGAGCTGGGGCAGAGGCCGCTCCACGGGGCCCCCTGAGGTCAAGGGCTCGGACGTCCAGGCCAGGAGTGCCAATGAGCGCAGTGGGTGAGAGGAGACCGGCTGCTGATTCATAGCCCAGGTCAGCCTGAGCAGCTGCTCCTCCCGGCCAGCTCACCCCGTGACACAGGGCTCTCTGACCTGCCTGGCCCCACTTGCCCAGCACCCCCCGAGGAAGGTCAGGGCCGCCTGGTCTCCTCTCCCAGGGAGGAGGCGGCCCCGGACGGCAGGACTGGCCCTGCTGAGTCCAGGCTCTGCTGCTGGCTCCCACGCTGCAGCAGGTCCAGTTCCCTCGGAGTCGACTGAGACCGCGTGTGTGCGTGTGTGCGTGTGTGTGTGTGTGTACCAAACACAGTGGTCTGACAGTCGGCCCCGGGCCCCCACTCCCCACAGGGAGCTCCTCCCTCAGCACCATCCTGCAATGGGCCACTGGACGTGGGCAGCTGGGCAGCGTGGGTCCCGGCAGCCGGCTGGCTGGAGTTTGGTTTTTTTGTTGTTGTTGTTGTTTTTTAAGATCTACTTATTTGAAAGGTTGAAAGGCAGCATGACAGAGAAAAAGAGATCTTCCACCTGCTGGTTCACTCACCAAAAGGCCTAGGCTAGGCAGAAGTCAGGAACCCAGAACTCCATCCGGGTCTCCCAGTAGGGTGGCAGGGGCCCAAGTTCTTTGGAATTCTGTCTCCTGCTTTCCCAGGTGCAATAGCAGGGAGCTGGATTGGAAGCGGAGCAGCTGGGACTTGAACCATTGCCTCTGGGTGCTGGACCCGGCACAAAGCTGCTTAGCCACTGCACCACTAGAGGGCAAGTGGACAGTGCATCACCCCCATCACCTGGACCAGCGCCCCTCCCACTGGAGCTTTTCATCTTTCTTCCTTTCTTTTTTCCACTTTGAGATATATTAAGGATGAAAAAATATCCTTCCAAAAGTTTTTAGATGCATGAAGCCAAAGCCAGCAGGTACACTAGAGAACAATTATGTTTCTATCCAGGTAGCGTCATGAGGGCGCCTCTTTACTTGACAACAGGAAGGAGGATTGGCAGACCCAATACCGGCCGTCACCCCCACCCCCCACTCTTCAGGAATATTTGCAAGGGCCGCGCTGTGACAGGGCTACCTGTCCGGTCATCCGTCTCCGTTTGTGACGATGCCACAGGCAGACATGGCTCACTCCCCTGGGCTTCGCTGCCTCCCTCCCAGAAGGTCAGAGAAAGGTGAGGCCCCGCCCACTCCAGGTGCAGGAAGTGGGGTGGGAATGTGGGCTCAGGAAGCAGAGACCCCCTCCTCACATACGGAAGACAGATGCATATTCCAGGCAGCCCAGGAGGGCAGGAAGGAGGAGGCTTCTCCAGGCCCACCGTCCCCATCGGCCACCCTCTCCGGGTATTGGGATTCCAGAAAAACAGCTCCTGGCTGAGTGGCAGCCCCCTCCCTAATTCCAACCTGAGTGTCTCAGGCCACCCCAGCCTGCTCCCTGCCCTGTGACACCCACCATCTGTGCCCCAGTCCATTAGCCCAAGTAGTGACCTTGACCCAGGCCCAGCTCCTGCAAATGAAAGGGCCGGCCAGGCACACACGACCTGACCTGCCCGCGACCTGGCTGTGACCAGTCATGCAGCCACCCTCTTAGATGGGGCTTGGCCAGCCCAGCGCCAAGGTATAAAAGGACTGGCCGGAGAGACGACCACCAGCCACTGACCCGCATCCAGCACTCCCGCACCATGGCCGGCCCCAGCCTCGCCTGCTGCCTGCTCGGCCTCCTGGCGCTGACCTCGGCCTGCTACATCCAGAACTGCCCTCTGGGCGGCAAGAGGGCCGCGCTGGACCGCGACGTGCGCAAGGTGAGTGTTCACAGGGGCGCGGCCCGAAGCTCCCTTCCCCTGCCCGCCCCAGCCTCTCTGCAGGGGAACCCTGCGCCTCCACGCCCTTGACCACGGGGAGGCCGTGACAGCGCCCCGCGCCCCGGCTCCCGCAGCCCCCTGGTCCCTGCCCCGCACCCCGCCCGGCCTCGCGGGGTCCCCGGGCCCTGCCTCTCACCCCCGGCCGTCCCCGCAGTGCCTCCCCTGCGGCCCCGCGGGCAAGGGCCGCTGCTTCGGGCCCAGCATCTGCTGCGCCGACGAGCTGGGCTGCTTCGTGGGCACCGCCGAGGCGCTGCGCTGCCAGGAGGAGAACTTCCTGCCTTCGCCCTGCCAGTCGGGCCAGAAGCCGTGCGGGAGCGGGGGCCGCTGTGCCGCCGCCGGCGTCTGCTGCAGCGCCGGTGAGTGGGCTGCTGGGTTCCCCCAGTGGGGCGCGGGGCCTGGCCGGGCCGCCCCTAACCGCACCTCTCCTTGCAGACGGCTGCCGCACCGATCCCACCTGCGACCCCGAGGCCGCCTTCTCCGAGCGCTGAGCACAGAAGGCCCCGACCCCTCGGATCGCACCCCTCAGCCACTCCCAGGAATAATAAAAATAAAATAAAGCAGATTTTCTCCCTTCAACTCGACTTGTATCTTAACTGTCGGGAAGGGGAGGGGCGGGCCTGGGCCCTGATGAGCGGTGTCTGGCTGGGGCAACCAGGGCAGATCACAGAGTCTGGGGACAGTCGTTCCCACCCCCCACGCCCGTGGCCGACCAGGCCAGCCAGGTGCAGAGAGGAAGGAGGGAGCCACAGGCCCTGTTTTCCTGGCTCCCAGCAGGGGCTGCCACACATCAGGCTGAAGCAGTGTAGTGGGCCCCACACTGACCCCTGGCAGGACGCCTGCGCAGAGCTGGCCCTGGGGAGAGGCCTCTGGGGACAAGGCCAGCTTTGGAGCCACCAGGTTTCCAAGGAGCTGGGCTCTCAGACCCCAAGGAGGCCCCTGGGGAGCTGGGCTCGCTCCCCAGCAGGATGCTGGCCTGCTGTCTCAGGGCTGGGTTTGAACCCTGCTGAGTCTGAGCCCTGCTCCTGCCTGGACAGAGGCCCTCCAAGAGGAGACCCTGAGTCCTGAGAGCCCACGACCCGAGAGGGACCGCAAAACACAAAGGACAGGGAGAGAGGCGCCCGCCAGCTGCACCACTCATGGCTTCCTGGAACAAAGACCCTTTTGGGAATCAGCTAAAGCCCATCCCTGTCACTCAGAACAGGCCCCACCCACCCACTCAGGTCACCAGGCAACTGGAGATGCAGGCCCATGTTCCACTCTCCAGGAGGAACAGAACCGGCCAGTGCTCTCCCACGGCGCCTGCACCTGGGCAGAGCAGAGAGCTCAGAGGCAGATCCTCCGGCAAGGTGAGGGGGGAGGCAGGCGAAGTGGACCTATGGGGTGGAGGCCTTGAGCCAGGTGAGGACTAGGAAGGGATCGGGGCTTCTGCGTATGTGTGGTCTGTTCACTTTTTGTGCATATCACACTTGACTTAAAAGTTCTTAAGGGGCAGGCAGTTGGTAAGGCTGTTTCAGTCCCACCTGGGGTGCTGACCCCCCATATGTGAGGGCCTGGATCCAGACTTGGCTCCGGCTTCCTGCTGATGCACCCCCAGGGGGCAGCAGGTGATGGCTGCATATCTTACTCTCTGTCACTCATGCAGGAGACCCTGCGTTTGGCCTGGCCCAGCTCTGGTTCTCGTGGGTATTTGGGAAATGAACCAGCGGATGGAAGATCTCTCTCTCTCTCTCGATCTCTCTCTCTCTCTGTTTTTTTTTTCTCTCTCTCTCTCTGTTTTTCTGCCTTTTAAAGAAAATAAAATTAGATTTTTAAATATAATTTTAATTGGGGCCAGTGCTGTGGCGCAGCGGGTTAAAGCCCTGGCCTGAAGCACCAGTTCTAGTCCCGGCTACTCCTCTTCCGATCCAGCTCTCTGCTATGGCCTGAGAAAGCAGTAGAAGATGGCCCAAGTCCTTGGGCCCCTGCATCCATGTAGGAGACTAGGAAGAAGCTCCTGGCTCCTGGCCTTGGATCGGCGCAGCTCTGGCCGTTGCGGCCATCTGGGGAGTGAACCAGCAGATGGAAAACCTCTCTCTCTGTCTCTACCTCTCTCTGTAACTCTGTCTTTCAAATAAATAAAATAAATCTTTAAAAAATAATAATAATTTTAATTGATATACTTTATTTTTTAAAGTTTTTAGGGGCCAGCATAGTGGCACAGGAGGTTAAACCACTGCCTGCGATGTTGGCATCCCATTTAAGCACCTGGTTGAATCTCAGCTGCTCCACTTCTGGTCCAGCTCTCCACTGATGAACGTGAGAAAGCAGCAGGCCACCCTTATGGAGACCTGGATAGAGTTCCAGGCTCCTGGCTTTAGCCTGGTCCAGCCCCAGCCGACGTGGCCATTTGGGGAGTGAACCAATCATAGAAGGTCTCTGTCTCTCTAGAACTCTGCCTTCCAAATAAATAAATAGATAATACCTAATACAATGTAAATGCTGTATAAGTAGTTGCTATGCTGTATTGTTTAGGGAATAATGACATGGAGAAAATATGTACTTTTTGTTTCTCTAATTTTTTAAAGACATTCATTTATTTGAAATACAGAGTCAGGAGCCAGGAACTCCACCCTGGTCTCCCACACGGCTGGCAGGGACCGGAGCACTCGGGTCCGCTTCAGGTGCATCCGCTGGGCGTTGGATGCTGTCCCCTGTGCTTTTCACCTGCACTTGGTTGAGTGTGTGGATGCAGCACCATTGTCCCACTGATGTCTCTTCCTCGGGCGTCCCGGAGGTGACATCAACGGGGGTCTCATGGATGTGTTGAGGAGAATGGCCGAAGAAATTCACACCAAGTGAATCCCAGCAGGGGCCACACCGGTGCAGAAGTGAGCCTGCTGCTCTTCTTCACTGTTGCTCAGGCCCACAGCCCCTGGGACCTGAGGGGACGACACTAGATTGCTTGGCGGTTCCCGGCCTCCCATGAACATCACAGTGCCGAAGTGAAATCCCAGAGAATGTGCCTCACACGGCACACTTTTAAAACTATGTAGTGCGTCTCAGCAGTGATACCAAGTAGAGAGAGGAAAAGTCACTCATTACAGAAATGGTGTCTAGGGGCCGGTGCTGTGGCGCAGTGGGTTAACACCCTGGCCCAAAGCGCCCGCATCCCATATGGGTGCCAATTCGAGACCCAGCTGCTTCACTTCTGATCCAGCTCTCTGCTGTGGCCTGGGAAAGCAGTGGAAGATGGCCCAGGTCCTTGGGCTCCTTCACCTGTGTGGGAGACCTGGAAGAAGCTCCTGGCTCCTGGCTTCAGATCAGCTCAGCTCTGGCCATTTCGGCCAATTGGGGAGTGAACCAGTGGATGGAAGACCTCTGCCTCTCTCTCTCTCTCTCTCTCTCTCTCTCTCTCTCTGCCTCTCCTCTCTCTATGTAATTCTGACTTTCAAATAAATAAATAAATCTTAATAAAAAAAGTAATAGGCCAGCGCTGCGCCTCAATAGGTTAATCCTCCGCCTGCGGTGCCAGCACCCCGGGTTCTAGTCCCAGTCCGGGCGCCGGATTCTGTCTCAGTTGCTCCTCTTCCAGTCCAGCTCTCTGCTGTGGCCCGGGAAAGCAGTGGAGGATGGCACAAGTGCTTGGGCCCTGCACCTGCATGGGAGATCAGGAAAAGCACCTGGCTCCTGGCTTCGGATCAGCGCAGTGCGCCGGCCACAGCGCGCTGGCTGCAGCGGCCATTGAGGGGTGAACCAACAGAAAAAGGAAGACCTTTCTCTCTGTCTCTCTCTCTCACTGTCCACTCTGCCTGTCAAAAAAAATAAATAAAAGAAAGAAAAGAAAAGAAAAGAAAAGAAAAGGTGCCCTTCCACAGGTAAGTGTCCAGGCAGGGCCACACTGGGTGGCATGGTCAGTACAACCGTCTGGTGATCGCACCTTCAGGTAATGACTAACAGGAAAAGGGGCAGGAAAGGCCTCCTCTACAAAAGCTTGGGCACCAAGGACAGGCTGAATGGGACAGTCAGTATTCTCCTCTGGCCTCAGCACCATAGCCAGGCTTAGATACCCTTGAACTGTAAAGAATGTATTCACGGAACACTTGCGGAAGCTTGGAGTGTGACTAACCATTGGATGGTGATAATGTATTTTTTGAGTTTTGTGTACATGTGATAAATAATGTTAAATACAACTTATTGGGGGGGTGCATTGTGTTGGACTGAGCTCTGGGGCCAGGTTCCAACAGACAGTGTGAAGACGCCACTTGGGTGTCTGGCAACCCGTACCAGAGTGCCTGGTTCAGTCCCAGCTCCACTGCCAAATCCGGCTTCTGTTAATGTACTCCCTGGGAGGCCGCAGGTGATGGATCAAGTGCTTCAGACCTTGTTACCCACATGCAAGACCCGGATTGTTTTCCTGGCACAGTCCAGGCTGTTGTGGGCATCTGGGGAGCGAGTCGGTGGATGGAATATCTTTCTTTCTCTCTGCCTTTAAAATAAAAAATGGAGATAAGTGGAGTCGCTCATATCAAATGTCATGGAATCAGAGTGGAACCCGAGAGGCAGGCGTTAGTCTAGTGGTTCAGACGTCCACGTTCTGCACCAAAGTGCCCCAGTTTGATTCCCGCCTCTGCTTCCGACTCCTGCTTCCTGCTTCCTGCTAATGCAGACCCCGGGAGGCAGTGGCGATGGCCCAAGTGACTGGGTTCCTGTCATTCACACGGGAGACCTGGATTGGGTTCTCCGTCCCTGGCTTCGGTTATGACCCAGCCCCCGCCATTGCCAGTGCCTGGGGGAGGGAACCAGCAGATGAGAGCATTCTCTCTCCTCCCCCCTCCCCCCACAGATAAAGAGAACCTGAAACTTGAAGGAAGCGTGTAAGTCCCCAGGCACATCAGGGCTTCCTGAAAACCTGAGTCAGGTCCACCTGAGCCAGCCCCACGCGGTCGGGCCCCGCTGCTTCAGCCCCTACAAGAAAACCAACCCAGACTCACCTGGCGGGAACCAATCGCTTTTTTTTTTTTTTTTAAAGATTTATTTAGTTATTTGAAAGGAGAGTTACAGAGAGGCAGAGAGAGAGAGAGGTCTTCCTTCTGCTGGTTCATTCCCCAGATGACCACAATGGCCGGAGCTGCGCCGATTTGAAGCCAGAATCCAGGAACTTCTTCTGGGTCTCCTATGCAGGTGCAGGGGCCCAAGGACTTGGGCCATCTTCCACTGACTTCCCAGGCCATAGCAGAGAGCTGGATTGGAAGCAGAGCAGCCGGGACTTGAACCGGTGCCCATATGGGAAGCTGGCAGTGCAGGTGTCGGCTTTACCTGCTACGCCAAAGTGCTGGCCCCACCAATCTCTTTTAAAACATCATTTGCTTCCTTGTTCCCACTGGGAGCACTCATTCTGTTTTATAGAAGAAAATGCTGGGAAAAAAAAAAAAAGGAAAATGCTGCTGATTTCAGAATCACTGATCCAAGCCATTTGTTTATTTTTAAAGATTTATTTATTTACTCAAAAGACAGAATTAGAAAGAGAAAAGGAAAGACAGAGAGAGAGAGAGCCCAACATCTGCTGGTTCATTTCCCAAATGGCTTCTTGTGGGTCTCCTACATGGGTACAAGGGCCCAAGGACTTGGGCCATCTTCCTTGAAAAAAAAGAAAAACAAAACAACAACTAATGTGCTTTTTCAGCCACATTCAGCAGGGAGCTGGATTGGAAGCGGAGCAGTTGGGACTCGAACTGGCGCCCATAAGGGATACCAGCACTGCAGGCCATGCCTTCACCTGCTGCACCACAGCGCCAACCCTGATCAAAGCCATTTAGAACTTCAAACTACATTTGTTTGGAATTCTAATTTTGGATGTAGGGTGCACTGGCTGGGATGTACTTCCAAATGGGTTGGGGGTATGGGGGATGAGTGGAGGGCTCCGTGGGTGCCATGAGGAAATGGAAGCTTGTTGTGGAAGCCAAGGAGGTGAGACAGCCACGCACCTGCCACGAAAGGTGCTGGGTAAAGGATCAGCAATTGTGCAGATTACGTCCTCTGACCTCAATGCATAAAATTAAAGATAACGAAAGGATGGGCAAAGAAAATTCTCATGCGTCTGCACTCTAAACACTGATTCCAAATAGTCCTTGGGTCAGCAAGGTAATCACGGCGAAATCTGCAAATCCTTGGAACGGGGAGTTGGGTGGGAGTGGGGGTACGGAGCACTCAGTGGCTGAGGACGAAAGCAGGATCCAGAGAGAAACGTGGAGCATTACACCAGAACAGGGAACAGGAAAGCCGCATCTGTTTCCCTTTTGCTTTTTGTTTTGTTTTTGATATTTATTTATATGAAAGGCAAGAGGTGTGTGTGTGTGTGTGTGTGTGTGTGAGAGAGAGAGAGAGAGAGAGAGAGAGAGAGAGATCTTCCATTCACTGATTCATTCCCTAAATACCCATAGCAGCTAGGGCTGGGCCAGGCCAAAGCCAGGAGCCAGGAACTCCATCTGTGTCTCCCATGTGAGTGGCAGGGGCTCAGGTACTTGGTGCACCATCTGCTGCCTCTCAGGATGCACCGAGGGGCCGGGACAGCAATGGACACTCTAACAGGGGTACCCCCCTTCCAAGCAGCAGCTTAACCTGCTGCACTGTTACCAATTTGCTTATTAATAATCTGAAATATTAATAAGCCATGTGAGTTCTTGCCACATATTCAGAGGAGAATTCTGAATACTGGCACAAATAAACCAGGCCCCATGATAAGTTTTAAGCTTTTTATTTAGTGAGGGAAATGCATGAGAGTGAGGGTGTTAATCTAACCTAAGAGAGAAGGGAAAGTCTGGAAACTAAGTTGGAATCCACACCAGGCAGAAAGCAGGCCAAAGCCATGAACAGCGAGTGTTTGGTTTTGAGCAGCTATTGCCAGATTATCACGGGCACCTAAGCAAAGGCAGAGTGCACAGGCAGCCCAAAGGACACATGCCCCAAAGGCACGGGGCAGCAAGGGACCGTAATGGCAAAAAGGGCAAAAGAGCCCGACCCACCGTGTTTCAGGCCTTTAATCCACTTCCAGAGGGGAGTGCTTAATTAGCCTGATTGGCAGATGGGCACACGGGAGTGGTCAGGCGAGGAGATGAGATCACACAGTGGGCGTGGTGAAGGTGTGGTCTTCCAGCTCACAAACCTGATCAATTTTATCCTATCTGCCTGTCTACATCAGCACCACAACACACATGCCCCCTTTTTTCTTTTCCTTCCTTCCTTCCTTCCTTCCTTCCTTCCTTCCTTCCTTCCTTCCTTCCTTCCGACAGGCAAGAGTTACACAGAGAGAGAGAGACAGAGAGAAAGGTCTTCCTTTTCTGTTGGTTCACCCCTCAAATGACTGCTACGGCCGGCCCGCTGCACTGATCTGAAGCCAGGAGCCAGGTGCTTCCTCCTGATCTCCCATGTGGGTGCAGGGCCCAAGCACTTGGGCCATCCTCCACTGCCTTCCCGGGCCACAGCAGAGAGCTGGACTGGAAAAGAAGCAATCGGGACAGAATCTGGTGCCCCAACCAGGACTAGAACCCCGGGGTGCTGACGCTGCAGGTGGAGAATTAGCCTAGTGAGCCATGACGCCGGCCCCATTTTTCTTTTTTAATCAGCTGAATATTGAATTCAAGGAGTTCTGCAAAGATTGACAGAGAAAACTCAAAAACACATAAAAGGAAACCAAATAAAGTCAGGATGGAAATAAATTAAAGACAAAAAATCAATAGTGTAGACTGATAAAACAGAAAGCTGTTTTTTCTTCTTTAAGTTAATTTTTTTTCTTTAAGTTAATTTTAATTAACTTGAAAGGCAGACATACACAGAGACAGAGGCAGAGGCAGAGAGACAGATCTCTTCCATCTACTGGAATCCAACCTTAAATGCCCACAATAGCCAGGGCTTGGTCAGGCTAATGCCAGGAGCCCAGACCTCAATCCAGGTCTCCCAAATGTACGGCAGGACCCAAGTACTGGAGAGATCACCTGCTGCCTATCTATCTATCTATCTATCTATCTATCTATCTATCTATCTATTTATTGGAAAGGCTGAGTTACAGAGAGACAGATACAGAGAGCCTTCCTTCCACTGGTTCACTCCCCAAATGTCCACAATGCCTGAGCTGGGCCAGTCCAAAGCCAGGAGCCAGGAGCTTCTTCTGGGTCTCCCACATGGGTGCAAAGGCCCAAGGATTTGAGCCATCTTCTGCTGCTTTCCCAGGCCACAGCAAAGAGCTGGATCAGAAGTAGAGCAGCCGGGACTCGAATCGGCACCTATATGGGATGCTGGCCCTGCAGGTGGCGGCTTTAACCTGCTGCATCACAGCGCCGGCCCCACATCAGCTATTTTCAAGAAATATTAAAGCAGAGGCAGACAATTGGCCTAGTGGTTAACACACCACTTGGGACCCCCCCCCCCAATTCCCACATCAGAGTACCTGGGTTCAAGTCCTGCCCCCGACTCCTGATTCTGGTTTGGTGCTAATGCAAACTCCGGGAGGCAGCAGGTGATAGCTCAAGTGGTTAGGGCCCTCCAACCCACTCAGGGGGGCCGGGTTAAGTTCTCAGCTCCAGGCTTTGGCAGGGTCCCAGGGAATGGTTAAAAAGGAGATGCTGCTGTGAGAACTCTGGGCATGGGGGCCCAGACTCCAGTCACCTGCCCTCTGCAGACCCTGTTACCCCGGAGAGCTGGACAGAGGAGAGCAGGAGCTCCCTGTGACCTGGGGGATTTTGTCCCTGCCTGACTCAGGGGCTCAAGGACAGGGATAAAGAGGAGGAGAATGTCCAGGGGTTGTGTGGCTGGGGTGGGCAGCTCTCACTTGCCCCCTCCCAGTGGTAGGAGTCTGTGTTCGGAAGACAGGTGCAGGAGAGGGGTCTCTGAGGATGAGGAAGGCTCTGTTCTGAGGTTGTCCCAGGTCCAGACCCAGCACAAGGCATTGGATGCAGTGCAGCCAAGCCCCCCACCCCGCACTGCCCCTGTCTGGTCCAGCGCCCGCCCTACCCCAACCTGGGGGCAGGCCCTGAGTGGGCTGAACAGGACAGAGGCAGGGCCTGTGAGAGGCGTGGAAGCCCACACGGCCTCTGTCCCTACTGGCTGGACTCAGTCACTCCGGCGCTGCCGCTGTGAGCCTTCGGCAACCAGGTCAGGGGTGAGAGCAAATGGCGCGCCGAGCAGACCGGAAGAGGACCTGACCCTTCCTTGGCACCTGGACTCCAAAGGGGATGACCCAGGCTGAGCTGCTTGAGTCACAGGCTCTGCCCAGGCCTGGGTGTCCACGCTCAGAGCGACTCTTTGCCTGCGCTCCCTCCTGGCCTCAGAGCTGCCGAGGATCCCCGAGGAGATGCAGCCGCTGCTGCCCCCAAGACCTGGAGCAGCAAAGCCCAAGGGCGCAGAGAACAGAGGAGACAGAAAGAGGATGGGAGGTAACGCAGGGGCCAGCGTGGGAGGGAGCAAGGGCCATGGGGTGGCAGGGGCGGAGGGGAAGAAAGGGGCTGAGGGCAGGTGGGACCCCCGGGCATGGAGGGCTGCAGGGGCAGAGGCTGAGGGCTGGCCATGCCCTTGCCCTAAAGTTGCATGCACCCAAGGGCATCCAGTTCTCATGTGCTGGAGCCAATGTGAGGGCACACGTGGTGCGTCCGTGCCCATGGGCCCATGTCTCGGCTGTGGCTCTTTTCCAAATTGTTTTTTTTTCTTTCCTCCCTTCCTCTCTCCCTTTCTCCCTCCCTTCCTTCCTCCCCCTTTCTCTCTCTTCCTTTCTTTTTGAAAGGCAGACACAGAGACATAGAAAGGCAAAGAGAAAGACTAAGAGATCTTCTGTCCACTGGTTCACTCCCCAAGTGCCAGCAATAACCAGGGCTGGGCCAGGCTGAAGCCAGGAACCCAGAACTGAGTCAGGGTCTCACGTGTGGGTGGCAGGGACGGACTTCCTTGAGCCATCACCTGCTGCCTGCCAGGGTGTACATGAGCTGTATGCGGTTCTGCACCTGGTTCCCAGGGGGCTCTGCCTGGGCCATGGTCAAAGTCTTCCCACAGCCCCAGCAGTTCTCTTTGTGTGTTTGTGTGTGTGTGCGCGCGCGGGTGTGTCTCTGTAGCCTCCGGGCAGGTAGCTGGGTGGTGGGTGCACCAGGATAGACAGCAGGTGGCGCTGTCTCCATGGGCCTGGGGGGAATGTTTACCCCCCTACCTCACCCCTCCTTCTCGGCAAGCTCCGATCAGACAGACGTTGGGCTGGGATTCAGGGACCTGGGTGGACAGCCAGTCTCCTGGGATGAAAGGAGTTTAGTCCCGCTCCCTGGCTCGCCCCTCCTGCCTGTCTCCTGTCACTCTCAACCTCCCTGTCTCTCTCTCTGCTCCCACCTGTGTCTTTCTCCCCTCCCGGAGCCTTCCCCACTCCCACCCTCCCCGAGCCACTCCCCCAGGTCGCTGTCCCTGGTTCTATCCATCCACGACTCAGTGGGCCGAGGCTGCTTCCGGTCTTTGGTGCAGACTCGCCCACACTTCAGGTGCGGGGTCTGACCGGGGCGGGGGTCGGCACTGCAGCACCCCCTTCCCCTCCCCCACTTGCAGAGACTGAGCCGGACACCAGGGTGCGTTCTCAGAGGTTTATTGTCCGCGCGGCAGGGGTGGGCACGGGGCGGGTGGGTGGCTCAGTAGCCGCCGGGCTTGGCGGGCTCTGCGGGCTCAGGCGCCCCCGCCAGCTGCACCAGCCGCAGCAGCAGAGCCCCGGCGGGCGCGTCCAGCTGCGTGGCGTTGCTGCGGTCGCTGGCGCGGGCGCGGCGGGGGAAGGCCTCGCGGCACTCGGGGTCGGTCACGCAGCTCTCTGCGGGGAGGACAGAGTGAGTGCGGGCGCAGACGCGGGCGCCGCCCCGGGGCCCCGCTCCGCTCCCCCGGGACGCACCGTCGTTGCAGCAGACGCCGGCGGCGGCACAGCGGCCCCCGCTCCCGCACGGCTTCTGGCCCGACTGGCAGGGCGAAGGCAGGAAGTTCTCCTCCTGGCAGCGCAGCGCCTCGGCGGTGCCCACGAAGCAGCCCAGCTCGTCGGCGCAGCAGATGCTGGGCCCGAAGCAGCGGCCCTTGCCCGCGGGGCCGCAGGGGAGGCACTGCGGGGACGGCCGAGGGTGAGAGGCAGGGCCCGGGGACCCCGCGAGGCCGGGCGGGGTGCGGGGCAGGGACCAGGGGGCTGCGGGAGCCCGGGCGCGGGGCGCTGCCTCGGCCTCAGTAGTGGTCAAGGTCTCGAGATCTACTAAAGTCTTCCGGCTTCTGAGGGGCTGAGGACCCCCCAGTCGGTAGGAGCCCTCGGCATCCTCACCGCCAGCTGGGCACGGGTCTCCCAAGGAGCGACGGCGTGCCGGAGACCAAAGTCTTCAGCTCTGGGGCCATGGCTGGTGTGCGCGCTGTTTTCCACCCACCCCCCCACCCCCCTTTCCCGCTTTGCAGACCCTCCTCCGACCCCGTGGTTCAAGCTTGAGCCGAAGCACCCAGGCCTGCCACCCTCCCTTGCCTGGCTCTTGGCGCCCCTCCCCCCTCAGCGGGTGGGCCTCAACTCGGGCCCTAACCCACCCTACCCCACCCCGCACAGGCCCTACCGCCCAGCAGGTGGCCTCGGGGCCTGAGCCTGCGGGGAGGGCATGGGTCCTAGGCCATCAGGCGCCCAAGGGTACCCACTGCTGGATTGTGCAACAGCTCAAATTGGACCCCCTGTGGGCTGGGCAGAACGGAGCCTGGAGCTAGAGCTGGAATACAAGGCAATGGACTGGACATACAGCACAAGAGCCTTGGGCTAGGTACCCTGCAGAACTTCCTGGCAGGATGCTTGGCTGGCACCTCCTCTCAGGCGAGCTTAGAGCAATGACTATATTCTAGGTGGCGTGGCGGGGGGACAGGGTGCCCAAGGCCAGGAGAGGCTGGGGCTGATGAGAGAAACCTGGAAAGCCCACTCTGGGCAATCCGGACCAGAGGACTCCACCGGAACCCCAGCCCAATTGCTGGGGAAGCATCTCTCACTTTCCTGCCTCCCCTGTCTGGTTGGGGACAGGGTCCAGGAGCCCCTCCAGGACTACCTAGCCTACCCGGCAGCCTGGTCCCCTCCCCTGTTGGTCCCCTGCCCCCAAAGCTGCCTTCTCCCCCAGCTTCCAAGCCCCTGCCCCATGGTGCCCTCCCGGGGCACTGCCCACTCCTGGCAGCCCTGAGAGGGGCGGCCGTGGTACCTGTCGCAGCTCCAGGTCGGACATGGCCCTCTTGCCGCCCCTTGGGCAGTTCTGGAAGTAGCAAGCGGAGGCGCAGGCCAGCAGGCCGAGGAAGCAGACAGGCAGCATGGTGTCGGGCATCCTGGCGCACACAGGTGGACACGGCGTGCAGCGCTGGTCGCTGGCTGTGTGCTCCTGCCTCCGCTGGCTGCCTATTTATGTCCACAGGTGTTCCCTCAGAGACGACGTGGTCACCACCCCCCTCCCCAGTGCTCCCCAGGAGCCCACGGCCGCCAGGTCCCAAGCCGTCAGCAGTGATTCAGGCGTCAGGGGACACACGTGGGCTTGTCTGTGCAGGGGACAGTGGGGGAGGGGTGCAGGCCGCCTGGCTGTCATCGGCTGCGGTGTGACAGGAGCTGCTATGACTGCGATGCCCTGGACTCGGGGACAGACCGGGGGTCTCACCGACACCATTTCCAAGCTTCTAGGGCTGGGGCCGGCAGGCCTTGTCCAGGGACACGGTTGCCAGGGAGGTGGCATAGGGCGTTGGTGTGATTAGGGGAGTGATGGGGAAGGGGCCAGCCAGGTGTGCAGGGTCCGACTGGGAGGGTCAGTACTGTGACAGGACAAGTGGCCGAGAATGGCACCCACCCCTGGTGCACCGGGAATGGGAATTGGTGCCCGCAGCCTGGAGGATGCGGCAGCCATAGCCACGGGGTCCAGGGAGGGACAGATCAGAGCAGAATTTCCCCCACAGGGTAGAAGCAGCAGGTTGGGGGGAGCTCAGGACACCCCACCACCTCCACGGACACACAGAGCAGGGTTCTGGGCCTCCAGTCCCGAGACTGGGGACCCTGGGGACAGAATCTTGGCACGCCCCAGCCCCCCTTAGCTAGGAACAAGGGAGGGAGGAGCAACAATGGGGGAACGAGAACTTTGGGCCCAGAAAGGCTCAAAGGTAGAACCGTACAGGCAGCTGCCCCGAATCTGACCCCCACCAGAACCCCAGTCTGTGGGTACCAGGGCAGGTGGCATCCCAGGCCAGAGGTGGCAGTGGGGCACATTGGCTCTGGGTCTTGGGGAGGGAGGCTGAGCAGCTACAGCCAAATGGAGCCTGCCAGAGAAGACGCGTTTGGTTCATGGCCCTCTGCTAGCAAGTGTAAAAGAACCGTGTGCCGTTGTACATTCGGCCGCAAGACGCCACTTGGGACACCCACATCCCAGAGTGCCTAGGTTACCGCAGATGTAGGGTCCTGGTCATGCTTCTGAGTCCAGCTTTCTGCTAACGCAGACCCTGGGAGGCAGCAGTGATGGCTGCCACACGCCAGCCACGTGGGAGACACGGATGGAGTTCCAGGCTCGCGGCTTCTGCCTTGCCCAGCCCTGACTGCTCTGAGCATTTGCGGAATGAAGCAGAGAATGGAAGATCTGTCTCTCTGTCTCTGCCTTTCAAATAAAAAAAAAGGAAGTAAATAATAAATATTATTTCATTTTAATTAATATTATTATAAACACAAATATTTTAAATAAAAGGGCCACTAGGGTGGCCCCCTGATTGTGGGCTGACCTCCATGCCTCTCAGGCGGTGCACAGCCCCTGGCTCTCCCGCCCCCGCAGGCTCTCGGGCTCCTCCCAGGTTGTACCACCCTACTGCTGCTGGGAGGCCGACCCCAGGCCTGCTGGGAAGCTGCTAGGGCAGGGCCCGGAGCCCTGGGTCAGGAGCTGACCTCTGGCTGGGGACTTTGGGACCTGGGCAAGCCACGGCCTCAAAGGGCCTCACTTTCCTTCCCGTGTAATGGAATGAAAACAGGGTCCCCACCTCCGAGGGTCACCCTGAAATCAGGAATAATTTACAGGCAACAGCTTTAGAAAAGCTCATTAACAATAGCATTGCACTATTAATGCCATCTTAAACAATTTTAATTATTTATTTGCATTTAGATTTGGAAGGTAGATAGGCAGAAAAAGACCTCCCATCTGTGATTCACTCCCGAAATGCTCTCAACAGCCAGGACTGGACCAGGCCAAAGTCAAGAGCCCGAACTCCAGCCAGGTTTCCCACACGGTTTGCAGGGGCCCAAGTACCTGAGCCATCACTCGCGCACTGAAGGGAAGCTGGAGTTGGAGGCAGAGTCTGGACTCCACCCCGGGCACTGGGAAAGGTGGTGCTGCGTGCCAGGGGCTGCTGGGCCCAATGCCCACCCCTCGTCATTCTGTTTTTTTTTTTTTTTAAGAAGGTTTATTACTTATTTATTTACACTTGATATTAGTCAAAAGGCCAAGAAGTGATTACTTATTTATTTGAAAGACAGAGTGAAGAGTCAGAGATCTTCCATCCGCTGTTTCTCTCTCCAAATGGCCACAACCACCAGGGGTGGGTCAGACCAAACGCAGGATTCGGGCACACCTCGGGTCTCCCACGTGGGTGCAGGGGCCCCAGGACTCAGGCCCTCTTGCACTGCCTTCCCAGGAGCAATAGTAGGGAGCTGGGCGGGAAGTGGAGCCACTGAGGCAGCCGCGCTCTGCTGTGGAGGGGGCGTGGCAGGCGGCTGCACCCCGCCGGACCCCCGACCTTCTTATGAAGCCTTGAAGAGGTTTTCCAGAGAGAGCAGCTTCTTCCGTTAGCCCAAGAAACATGTCATTCCACTCAGGGCTGAAAACAGGCGTGGCCCCAAATCCTTGCTCTCTGAGGGTTGTGAGGCAGGCTGGGGGCCCGGGCCTGGCCGGCATTGGCTGTGTGGCCGTGGACCAGCCTTCCCCCCTGCATTTCGGGTGAGGGTCACTGATTGAAAATGGATGCCGGGGCCAGGGTGACTGAAGGGCCCAAGCCCTGGGCCGGCCAGGCCACCCGTGCCCTGCCCAGACCCGAGTCAGGAGCAGCGTTCTGAGAGCTGCTTTCCATACCAGCACCCCTGCAAGAACCCAACCCCCACCTGAGCACAGACGCCGGAGGGCTCGCTTCCAAAACCCACCCTGTTGAAGCCCACCCAGGCTGGGAAGTCTGTAGTGTGCTGGCACACTCCTCACGTGACCCCCCCTCACATGTCACATGCCTTCTCCTCACATGCCCTGACCTCACATGCTGCCCTTCACGTGTCACATGCCCCCTCCTCATGTGACGCCCCTCACATGTCATGTGCTGTGTCCTCATGTGCCCTCTCCTCACGTGATGCCCCCTCATGTGTCACGTGCCTTCTCACGTGCCGTCTCCTCACGTGACCCCCCCTCAAATGTCATGTGCTGTCTCCTCACGTGCCCTCTCATGTGTCATGTGCCCTGTCCTCACATGCTGTCCTTCACGTGTCACGTGCCCTGTCCTCACGTGCCCTCTCATGTGTCACATGCCCTTTCCAAGACCCCCCTCCCCTTGCACCTGCCCTTTCCACCACCCCCTTCTCATACCCCTCTGACCTCAGGTCATGATTCGTTCATGCATCGTGAAAAAGGGGAGGATTTAGCTCATGAAGTTGCCCCTCAGCCAAAAAGTACCCTCCAGTCCCCATTTGCTTGACTTAACGGTAGATCAGCTATGAGCTAGACTGCAGTGATGTGCTCCGAGCATCTTACAAAGCGTTTTGTGATGGCCGTATTATCTCAAAGCGACGTTTGTGCTCCCTGGAGGTAGGATCTGGGCACCTGCCGCTTCCTTATTCTAGAAGGCCTGGCCACCCTCAGCCCCCCCACCATTTGCCTGTCTGGCACAAATGTTGGGCTTTTTTTTTTTTTTTTTTTTTTTTTTTGGACAGGCAGAGTTAGACAGTGAGAGAGAGAGAGAGGGAGAGAAAAGTCTTCCTTTCCGTTGGTTCACTCCCCAAATGGCCACTATGGCTGGTGCGCTGCGGCCAGCACACTGCGTCAATCCAAAGCCAGGAGCCAGGTGCTTCCTCCTGGTCTCCCATGCGGGTGCAGGGCCAAGGACTTGGGCCATCCTCCACCGCCTTCCCCAGGCCACAGCAGAGAGCTGGACTGGAAGAGGAGCAACCGGGACAGAATCCAGCGCCCCAACCAGGACTAGAACCCGGGGTGCCAGCGCCACAGGCAGAGGATTAGCCTAGTGAGCCGCGGCGCTGGCCACAAATGTTGTGTTTTAGGAGGGGACCTCCCTGACTATCCTCTAGAATATCTCTCCTCCCACACCTGTTAATTTCTTTGTTTTTTTTTTAAAGATTTATTTATTCAAGAAACTATTTTTAGTATTATTCATTTTAAAGTAAGAGTTACACACAGAGAGAAGGAGAGGCAGAGAGAGAGAGAGAGAGAGAGAGAGGTTCTCCATCCGCTGGTTCATTCCCCAATTGGCCGCAACAGTCAGAACTGAGTCAATCCCAAGCCAGGAGCTTCTTCCGGGTCTCCCACACAGGTGCAGGGGCCCAAGGACTTGGGCCATCTTCTACTGCTTTCCCAGGCACATGAACAGGGAGCTGGATCAGAAGTGGAGCAACTGGGACTCGAACTGGTGCCCGAATGGGAGGCCGGCATTGCAGTCAGATGATCAGCAGCTTTACCCTGCTGTGCCACAGCGCCGGCCCCGAGGCCGCCACCTTTCAGGTTCAGAACTGGAGCCCGGCTGCAGGTGTGTGCCCGTCAGGGCACAGTGGTGTGAAGGAAGGGAGAGAGAGGCCCTGGGTAGTAGTGCAGCTCCCCAGGGAGTGCTGTAGGACCTCGGGCAAGTCCCACCTGCTCCCAAGGTCCCTAAGTCACTAACTTGCACTAACTCCACTTCCTGCTTCACCAAGATCCCAGGAAAATCAGATGACGGTCTACAAAGGGTTAAGCTTTTCTGCAATCCTTACATAACACGCTTTGCAAGCCTCCAGATTAAGCCCCAAATCTCAGAATGTTCTTTAAAGTACTTCCTGACCCTGAGACCATCTATTCTGAGAACAAGTCTTGGTTCATTTTGAAGCCGAGCGGCTGCTCCTGCTCCCCTCTCCTGTTCCCATCTCTGCTGCTGTCAGAGGGACCTGGCCACACCTGCCAGGCCAGCGTCCTCTCTTCTCACTTGTCATCTAGTGGTCTTGCTCAAGGACCCTTGACCTGGTCAACCATGAAAAAATCAAAACAAGCAAAGGAAAATAGAGCCCAGGCACTGCTTACCAAATTGATCTCAGAGGTGCCTTAAGCAGGCTGGCCCAAGGCCAGCAGGCAGGGGACTGAAGTGCCCCCCCCCCCCCCGCCATGAAGGAGACCCAGCCTCCCCTCCTAAATAAATTGTAACTTGCAAAAAGCAACCTCAGTAAAAAGCAGACATTTTTGACCAGCCCTTTCCCAGATTAA